AATAATAATAATAATAATAATAATATATATTGCTCTTAAACGAAGCTGTGCATCGCTTCCATACCTTCTTAATTGTTTCTTCAATCTTTGTATTATGTAAATTATCCAATCCAATAAAAAAATATGCACACAGGAGGGAATGACAGTGACACCCAAGTCGGCGAGCCCCAGGCGGCCATCAACGAGTTCTGGGACGGCTTTATTACGAAAAAACCTGCCAAAGTTACTAAGGTATTTCTACAAAATCTGTATGCAAACCTTCTCCCTCTATAACACCTAGTTGGAACTGTCGTTGGCAATAATGCAGCTAAATTATACTAGACTGCAGCTGCAGAGTGTTGCACTTATGTTGAACGCATCGTTAAAGAATGCCACTGCACAAACGAAAAGTTTACCGATCCAAAATTCAACAGTAGCCACCTTAGGGACAAAAGTTGCCTTGAAAGCCTTATGTACAGGCACGAGGATGAGGATGCAACTGACGCTCAGTCTACGACTACTGCATCCGGCAGGACCACGAGTAGTTCAAACGGTCTAAGATTAGTCCATCGCGTCGACTGGATCTTTGAAAACCCGCAATTTGTCCTCAATGGCTTCTCTAGCTCTGACCTTAAATAGGGCCAAGCTGGAGACTGCTGGTTTCTTACTGCCGTTTCGATAATCTGCACGTACCCAAATCTTATGGACAAAGTTTACGTCGCTAGAGACGAGGAGTGTAGAGTATATGGCTTTGTCTTCTATAGAGACGGCGAGTGGGTCTAGACTGTTGTTAACAACAATCTCTACCTTACATTTAGCGACTTTGACTCTATAGTTAGTAATAGATAAGACTTAACTAATGTTAGAGAGGTTAAGTGGAGAAAGAACTATTAGACTAGATCGGAGGCGCTCTATTTTACTTTATATACTGACGTAAATGAAACTTAGCTCTCTCTTTTAGAGAAGGCGTACGCTAAAAGTAAGCTCCTTATTTTTATATAATTATCTTTAGCTTATATCTAGCACACCTATAGTGTAAAGCTAATAGAGCAATAGTAATTATAATTCTATTTATAGTAGGTGGAGTGGCGAAGCTGTTAAGGATTCAACTAGTAGCGTTACGACCTAAATCTTCATAGATCGCGTATTGAGTAAAGAGAAACTTTAGAAAGAACTATTGCAAGTCGGTAAAGAATTTCTCTACTTAGCTATATTATATAGCTTAGGCGTATTCAGCGTACAATTAGACTTATTAAGAAGCCTTGCTACTAACTATGCTTTTTTAGTCTTGAGAGCCGTAGAGGAGCAAGACGAAAATGGCAAAAGCCACCGTTTAGTACT